AACAGCAAAACCATAACCACCTGTGTCTACATTAGGCTACGGTTTTGGCGACAGATCTTGCTGTCGGACAATTGGTGTCAAATTTGCAGCAATAACCGTGCAAAGCTTGCAGCGCAGCAAGGTATGCGCGGTTCCTGCCGCCAATCTGCCGTCAAACCGCTACAAGCTCTGCGCGGTTTCTGCTGCAAATTTGCAACAATTATCCGACAACAAGCTCTGCCGCATATCTGGCGGCAATTTGGCAGCAAGATTTGATATAACAGATCCTGCATCAAATTTATTATCTATTTACCATCAAAAGTTGATAGCAAAGTCTGCTCGAAATCTGTTCGCGCAGGCTTGGCTATCTGGGTTCATAAATATTTATGTCGAATTATCTTTTAAAAATTTATACAAATATTTTAAAAATATTTTTGGTACACATAAAGGAAAAAAATTTCGAAATCTTTGTTCAAAATATTAAAATATAGTGTAGCGGAAATGTCGAGATTCCGGCTTAGCAACAAGCCTGAATATTCTAGAAGCTGATAGTCAGTTATCTCCTCGGCGTAGCAAGTCCTCGTAACCGAGGAACTGCGAGAGTTTGTTAAGAGGCGATCGTCCCGGAGTTTTATTGTTTCTCTCTCCTCCGGGTACGATCTGTGTTTCAGTTTTTCTTTAGCTATTGCGAAGTGCATCTCATTCGTTATCATGTTTTGCTAATCGATATTGAGATTTTCCGTCAAGAGTAAAAGTGAAAGAGCTGGTAATCTCCTCGAGTGGGGAAAAGAGAGATACATTCACAGGTTGTCTCCTGCGACTATCCGTCGCCCTCTCCGACGTCGGTGTTCCAGCATCCTGCGCCTCTTGCGGCTATCCGCCGCCCTCTCCGACGTCGGCGTTCCAGCATCCTGCGCCTCCTGCGGCTATCCGCCGCCCTCTTCGACGTCGGCGTTCCTGCATCCTGCGCCTCCTGCGGCTATCCGCCGCTTTCTCCGACGTCGGCGTTCCTGCATCCTGCGCCTCCTGCGGCTATCCGCCGCCCTCTCCGACGTCGGCGTTCCTGCATCCTGCGCCTCCTGCAGCTATCCGCCGCCCTCTCCGACGTCGGTGTTCTAGCATCCTGCGCTTCCTGCGGCTATCCGCCGCCCTCTCCGACGTCGGCGTTCCTGCATCCTGCGCTTCCTGCGGCTACCCGCCGCCCTATCCAATCGTCGGCGTTCACTGTCTCCTGCTACTCTTGCGGCTATCCGCTGCCTTCTTCATGTTTGACATGCCTGATATTTACAGTCATTCTAGCAGCTGATCGCTGCTTTCTCACATTTTAGTGTTTTTTAAAAAATAAACTAAGTGTGTTATTCGTTCTAAAAGTATTCGGGAATCTTTCAGTAATTTTCCTCTTTTCGAACAGTATTCTCTTTATACGCGTTATAACACATAGAATAAATATTTTATGCAATATCTATAGTAAAAAAAAAAAATATTTCTAGTAACATTTTATAAATATTTTAGGAATATAAAGGGAAAAAATATCAAACTCTTTATTCAAAATACTATTAAAATATAGACTAAATACTTTATACAATATTTATAATAAACAAAGAATAAATATTTGTAGTAATATTTTGTAAATGTTTCTGTTTACAAATATTATACATGAAAAAAATTAATGTAATTATTTATAACTATTAAACTAAAAAATAAAAAATTCGAAATTTAAATTAGTAATGTACACTGAAAAAATTCTTTAAATTAAAGAAATATATTTTGTTAAATATAATTTTTTAACTTAAAAAATGTTTGTTAGATTTTAGAGCACATGTAATAAATATAACATAATATTTTTTATTTATAAGATGAGATGAAAAATTATGAATTTCTAAATAAAAAAAAATGATTTCTTTGATTTTTTAAAATATCAGTATATAAGAATAAATAAATGATTTCCTTACAAGAAAAGAATTCTTTAATGTAAAAACTGCATTTAAATACCCGATGAAAAATTTTTCATGCAAAATTTTGTATG